TCATCAATGGTCGGGAACAGCTGCCCTGAAGCAACACTCCCGACCCGCTTCGCGCTCAGAAGGAGACACTATAGATCCTCCTCGTGGTTGGCGAGACCAAACACTTTAGAAACGCATTTCTCAAGTCACAAACTATAGAAATGATCCCTGAAAGTATAGTCTTAACTCTCTACTTCTCGAGCAGCGCACCCCACTAATTCCGCAATTACTGCCTGTCATGGTTTTGAATTTTAAAAATCAATATTGTCATCACCAAAGTCTCCAAATCAATATTTATGAATTGGTGCGTTGAGCAAATTAACAATTATATTCGTGATACATTGTAACTGAAGTGTCTCAGAGGGTGAAATTAGTCTTTTGTATTTATAGCTTTTACAATACCCAGAACACATCGCTTCCAAATTTTGCATACTAATTACTATGAAACGTCGTCTCTAGTTTCGACATGTGAAGTATCTCACATACCAAGAAGTAGATCATATTCTTACTTACAGTGTGAATTAGTACATATATATTTATCTACGTACAACGTCGAAAGGTTTGTCTTCATTCAAATGCAACCTTTATAAATGAACGTCCAAAGTCTGATCTAAAATTCTAACTGCATTACTACAAACTCTCCAGTTGGGCGCGCCATGCTCCCACTTGGATTACATAACCAGGGCGATTTCGCCCCATTTGTGCATTTTTAAATAAATACATGCAGATTATTTTCGAAACGGTTATACGTGGATGAAAAGTACTCCATCCATCTGACCGTTATCGTTTCTGATTTAAACTGAAATATTTGACAGCAAAAGGAAAACAATTTCTATTAAAACAGGAGATCAAGAGTTATAATCTAGTTATACTGTGAGCAATAGAATATCTTTATAAGTCTGTATAGAACGATAATATATAGAAATATATTATGTTACAGTGGGTTTGTAAATAATGCACTTTGAAATCCGAATCGCAAGGATATGCACACGGCTGGGTGAAGATCTTATTCCGTGTGGGTGGGACAGTTTGTCCGCGCTGCGATGCCGTAGCTCAGCTGAGCGACGCTTTCCAGCCAGACCAACATGGCCGCTGTGTCTCGCGGCGCAGAAAGTGCATGAGCAGGGTTTGAGCTCGTCACTCGGTAGCGTCACGATGTGGCAGGGGAGGAAGGGACCGGCGTTATCGCCCATTTTCATCTCGCCTTTTAAATTTAAGGCTCCGAGCCTTCCGGATAGGCATTAGGGTTGGTTGTAAAATACGAACCCGGCGGCTCTTGTGACACTTGCTCTGGCCTGGACCAGGTCTGTAAAGTTAAGCAAAGACAGGAGCCGAAGACCCCTCCTACTGTTCCGCCTGTTCAACTTTCTGTTCTGCTCTGATGAGGGCTTGACGAGAATCGCTCACTAATGATCTCAAGAAGAAGAGCTTCGTGTTTCATTCATTGACAAGTCGGCGATTTACCAATATTTTCTGAGACCACAGCGCTATAAGGAGACTTTTTCCCGTGTTTGTGTTTGAATAACCTGTCTTGAGAGATGTTTTCTGTAAAACCTCTGAAACCTACGTTCAAGTCGTACCTGCCTCCTTTGCAGGTAGGCATTTCGCGCTAAGTTATTGACTTTGCTACGAGCTGTCAGTGTTTGTCAAACAACTTGAGCTCTGGTGTGTCTATACAGTAGCTACACACTTAACACCTTTTGCTATTTTTATTTAATGTTAGGAAATAATCGCTTTTGAAAAACGGGTTATGTACATCGACGATTTCACAACTATGTTATGAATTCCAGATGCTGTAGAACGACGTTTAGAACACTTTCCGCGTTTAAACTAGTGTATGAGGATTTGCATCTTAATTCCGTTGTATGCACGAATCCTTCTGGAAGCATAGATAATTGGTCATTAAATAAGAAAGACAAAAAACAGTTTATGGCTGAGTGTCAAAAATAGTACCAAATTGTCTTATTTTACATGCTGTTTTTGAAACCAAACGTTCTTGCTTAATATTTTTTTTGAACTTTATGAGATGGTAATACATAATCAACGCACTGCTCTGTCAGGGATTCCGGCACTGGGCTATACGGTTAGTAAGTGTCTGGGGCTTGCCTGGTACGTTTTTGATCTTTAAATGCCTCTTTGCACTTAACAGACAGAAGTCAAGAGGAGCCCCCAGCCCCCAATAAGGAAGCTAGAAGCGAAATTGCTACCAGGTAAGTCAGACCTCCTTCCCCTTTCACGATTTAACACACCGCACGTCCCCTGCGCACGATAAGTGAAAATGAGCCAGTTCGGGAGTCGTGTGAGTTTTGGTGTGTTTTTTTTAACGCCAGAATTCTCTTCTTAGCAGTTCAGTAAACTTTTCTGTTAATAATTTACAATAACCCGCCTCCCCTGCTGAAGTCTTTGAATAACTGACCGTGGCAGAGACTTGCTAATGACACCATGTCCTGGCTTGTTTACACTATATACAGCTGCTTTTGCTGAACGTCCCCTCTGTCCTCCAAGCGGTTTAAAGTCCTGTTGCCCTCCAGGGTTGGTGTGCCTGTATCCCTTGAGCGAGCTTGAGTTGAACTGCAGAACAGGTGAACCCTCCTGTTCTGCTGGTGGAAATCTGTACCGTACACTTCCTGCGCAGTGAGCTGTCGGAGAGTGCTGTCACTTCTCTCTGGGTCAGGCTTGTGTTCTGCAAGAACTCTGTGGTCTCTTCCTGGGACGCTCTCCCACCAGCAAGACAAAACTAGGCCAAAACTGTCCTGTACCTCTAAACATCTCTGGTGAATTCAAATATGAGGAACGGCAGGTCATTTGGTCAGCTCTTGAGTGTTTTTCTGTGCCGGTGCTTGTTTTGTGTGGAGGAGGGGAGGGTTGTATTTTTGGAGCAGGGACAAAGCCAGTGTTTAACCAGCCTTTCCCACAGAAAACGTATCCGTGCATTTGAGCCTTGACAAGATGGGCATTCCTCTCTACAGGGCTCCAGAGTGCCTCTCAGTCACCATGGTTATCTGTCTGCTGGCCCCCTTTTCATTGACATGTCTAACTCTCTATAATGGGCCTCAACAATACTGTTTTGCCAGTGAGGAATGCTTTTTTTGTGAAGGAAGCAAAAGTAAGGAGAAGAATTGTCTCGAGAGAAGTATGCTATCATATAAGGAGAATCAGAGTGAAGCTTTCTGTTGATTGCCTAGAACTCTTGTCTTGTGCATTATTAATGTGTAGTTTAATTTAAATAGTAGCAGGCGCAGGCCTTATTTCTTTGTGCGTGTCTTTATCTGGTTATAAGAGCTGAACAGCACGGTTTGCGATATGAACTGTCTAGGTTTGTGTTTCTCAACCCATGTTGGTTGCACAGAGTCTAGATGGTAGCTGCAGCTAATTAGGTTAATACTGTGCCCCAAGGTGTTTGCAAAAACTGAGGTTTTTTTTCCTCTCGTGTGTTTAGTTCCTGCTGTTTCCTTTTGTAAAGTATATTCAGCTACCTCCCAGAGTGTCATGAGCATTCTCCAAAAACTAAAACAGTGCATTTTGTCGACAGTTATGCACTGTGGTATGAATACAAATCTTCTGCATAGCTGCTTGCACAAGGCTGAACTATGACACACAGACAAATGTGCACATTTTGCACATGCTGTTTGGTGGCCATCTTCGTAATTCCTGTGTCAGTGTTGCTTGGTTTATATGCCGGAGCTCTCTGTGTGTTCTTTGCAAGCCCTGTATTATTTCTACAGTCAGTTTCTGCCCTACGTTTCATGTGTACCGGCCTGGGTTATGTCAGCGCAGCAGTATGCAGTCGTCGATGCTGATGATTCAGAGGTCGCTGGGGATCATCATTTTTGAGGGCTTCCTGATTAATATAGGAAGAAGTTCAGATAAATCTTTGTTTATGAGCTGTGAGGATGGAGGGACAAGGAAGTTTCCTGCTAAATATTCCTGGATTGATTTTTCAGTAAAGTGTGGAGACAGTTGAAGTCCACAGTGAAGATAAGAAGAAGAGCACAGTTATATTATGCAGGAGATAGGCACATTGCAAGTGTATCAACAGCTTTATGGTGATGCTGAACAGATAAGATGTGAAGACAATGTAATTGAAGAGCCAGGCAAGAGCTTTGGTTGATGTTGGTAAAACTGCCAGAACCGCACAGCTGTGACTACACTGTAGAAGTGTGGGGTTGCACTTTTTTCAAACTGGGAGCATTTGGGTAGCTCGGCAGGGACAAGTCAGTTTCCTTTAGGCATCAAATAATGATGCCTGGTTTTTTTTTAATCTCTTTTTGCCTGACAATGAAATGTGGAGGAGGTGTTTTTTTCTGTTCTCTTAACTGCTTTCTAGACAGAGCCGTATTTTGTTGAGATATAATTAGATTTTGTTTTTGGCACATTTCTTTCCAGAAATGAAGCAATTAGGCTAATTGCTCTGGTGGACATGGAAAATATGAATCAGAATCTATTATTTAATTAAAAGCTAGAGTACCTGTGAGTCAAGTACCTCAGAAATTTCACCAAAAAAGCCCCAAAAGTCTGGTTTAAATACTGGATGTCTTGTTTCTTTATGACAACAAGATTCCTTTATCACTAAGTATGTGTCCTTCTCTTGTATACAGATACACATTAGGTCATTATTTTAAAATTATTTTAAAGAGTAATGTGGTTAAATAGTTACTGTAATACTAAGCTCACACATCTCCTATAATGTCAGTAGTGTCAAGTAGTGTGTGTGAGAAGAGTGGTTAGGTTAGGGGCTCAAGTCGCAGGCAGGGTGCTGTTGTAGCCTTGAACAAGGATCTACTCCTGTAGAACGTCTAGTGGTACAAATGGTTATACGTGTGGCTTGCTTTGGATAATACATTGATGATAATATTGGGATTGCAGCTGGAATGCTCCTGCCTAAAACTTTAATGTGATTTTTTCCTTTAAAACAGAATACTCTCCTTTCTATGTCCTGTTTAGGATAATGAATGCTAGTCATTCATTAACTTGATTGTGTACATTCTTAGAAATGTTAAATTATTATGTCTGTAATACCCTTACACCTGCAACTTGGCCTGTAGTTTGATTTTGTCCAGTATAGTGTTTGAATTTTGAGGTTGCAGACCTTGGGTATTTGCTGTCAGTGCACAATGTCTGCTCCTCTCTGTCAAGGTTTTCTGGAAAGTCAATTACCTGATGCTAGTGAGTGGCCAGACTGATTAAGGTACTGTTTGGTTAATCTTTACAATAGCTCAATCCTGTCTGAGGAACGTACACTTGTTTACCCTCGTTAACTTCAGTGTGCATTTGCTCTTGAAAATGCTGAGAGGGTTATGCTTGAGAATGCAATCGTGTTCAAATAACTTGCTTGTCCTGTTTATGAAAAGGTGTGTTGCGTGCCTTTGTGTTTCTCCTTCCTGGTTAATCACCAGCACAACACTTTTCTATTCCCTGTGAATAGTTACCCTTAGTATTTAACAGATATATTTTAGAATTGTTTTCTGATTATGAAGAGCTACAGATTGTAGCAAGGAGTCAAGCATGTATTCCTGTAACAGAGTACCACAACACTGTTGTATTGTTTTTGGTGTTCTGCTGTTTTTGGCTACGTCTTTGGCTTTTCTGGACCCAGTGGGGATTTTATTTGACTATATAAAAGATTCAAAGGGAAGGTAAGACTTTGTTTGCCCTAGCACTAAGAACATCAGTATGTGCATCAGTTTTGTTTTGCCATACAGTACTGTAGATCATCCAAACTGAGGTAATGACAAAGACCAGTAAATGAGCACAGTAGCAAGATGCCCACAAAACAGCAGCATCCAAACAGAAAATTTGTTATGCACTCATTTTCTCATTTATTATCACTTTATCCAGAGAGAAGGGAGAGGGATTTCTGTCCATGGAAAGGCTTTCTCAGAATGCTGAAGATGGGGATAAACAACTGCTACTCCAAAATGGGATCACTTAATTCCTTGAAATAAAAAAAAGCTACATATTAATTACAGCAGGGACGGAAGGGATTCTTTTTTTCTTTTTCTGTAGAGAATGCTGTCGCATTCAGCTCCTTTATAAAAGCTTGTCACAGAATAAACCACTTGTTGAAAAGCAGGAAATCATCACTATAATTACATCCTGACATCAAATGTGTCAGAAACAGAGTCACTGTAACAGTAAACAGATAATTATTTTGATGCAGTGATATACTGTACTAAGTAAAGCTGTTAGGAAAACAAAATAGTTGTGACTTGTGACAATTGAAGTCATGTGGCTGCTATTTGCTGCCATTTAAATGTGAAATTTAACTCTAATACTTGTATCTTTTTTTCTCCCTTCAGATGTTTTAAGTGAATTCCAGGTTTTCAATTACTGACATACGATCTATATAGGAGGTATCTAGTCACCTTATACTAATCCAACTTTTAGTTTACCAGGGTAGTAGCAAAGAGTCTCATTAGTAATGATTGCTAAAATATGCCACATGGAAAAAAAACTCATTTTTCAGCTAAGTAATGCTTATATCTGCACATGATTGTACAATGTTCTTGCAAGATGCAGACTTAAAACTTTGAGCAAAGTTGGTTTCATTTGCCACAATAACCGTAATCTAAAAAGTGTAAAAATAGTACATTATTGCAAATGTTTTCCAAAAATGTAAGCCTTGCGACTAAAGAGATTAAAGGCTTAGAGAGTGCAGAACAGTCTGCAATTGATATATTTGGTGTCAGGGAATATCAGTCCTGCGTTGGGCATTCGCTGATTTTAAAGGTTGAAATGCTTAACGAGGTATATTTCATCATCAAACGTTTTATTTTTGCTAAGCAGGTTCTGCCTCCTTTGCTTGCGGTGTTGTATGTCCGACTGCACAAAATCACTGTGAAAGGTCTTGCTGCCGAAAGGGAAACCCATTTATTATGAGCTCAGTAACATCTGCCTGAGTGTTCTGATACGTGAGGAGAGAGGGAAACCGATTATACAAAGGACATTGCACTGCCATTTGTGAGCATTACAAATACAGGGTCCTAGCTTAGCTCAGGCAGCCCTGTGTTCGGCAGCAGGTTTCTCTTCTGGCCAAAACTACAGATTTTATTATTTTTGTGGTCAGGGTGGTTAAAAGCAGGAGGGTGTTTACACTTTAAATTCTGAGGGGGTGTTTGTCAGGTTGTTGTTTTTTTTTGGTCTCTAATTTTTTTTAGTTTCCTAAATTATCTGGAATGTCGGACTTTTCTACAGTTATAAATAAATGAAA